GAAACTTTCTTTTCTGAAAAACTGTATTACAATCTGCACCGCATTTTCTAGTAGCAAACTCAAGTGATGAGTGCAACTGGATCAAAGCCAAAAAGAGAAATAAAAGAAGGTATATTAGATGATTTGCCCAGCTTTTGACAAAGGTGTTATCGGCAACTTCTGGGTATTGTGGGTTTGCTTTGGTTGTCTTGTCTGTCTTCAGAATTGTTGGTTCCCATCAACTTCAACCCTTAAACCTGTTTTAGTTAGGGGACTGAAACAAGGAAGTGGAGAGTGCATGAGTGACTCCCAGCTTTTTTAGCTTTACCTCCAGCTTATATTGCTCCCCATCATCCATCCTAAATTATTTTACAAAATGCTATGGCTATTTTATTTATTTTACCAGATTAAAAAATGTCTTTTGTTTTATGGAATAGATCAGTAAGTTAATGTTTTACTCTTCTTGTGACTTTCTCTATGAGATATAGAAATCCAATGTTTGTAAAGAAGTATTAGTATTTCTCGTCACCACCCTTTTAGTTCCCACAATAATCTCAAAACCTATCTCACACTATTTTGTTATAAACATTCCTTTTTATAGAGGTCCATTTTGCTGCAAATTGCATTATGTTTAGATTCAAAACAATAGTGCATATTTTTATTAAAATCAGATCTAAAAGCGTTTAATTAAAAACAGCATTGATTTCTATGAAATACAGAAGTTTCACTGTAAAACAAAATATTTAAATATCAATCTTTTAAAGACTTTAGCTCAAAATGTCTGCATCCATAACTATATTTGGTGTGCCTGTTCCATATATTAAAGATGTTTCCCCAAATTTCACCCCAATCTGATGAAACAAAAACAAAGTTATTGAATATTTTTATATATGAAGATGTAAAAAATATGATAAAGAATGAGTAGAATGTTAAGATTACATATTTGTGCTTTAGAAATGGGAGTTAATCGTGGCAAGCTGTCCAAGGCAATTTGGGCTGTGTTCCAAATCTGAGAATTCAACTGTAAAGAAATTTCATAGATAGCATGGACAAACCTATGTAAAAGTTAAAATAACTAATTCTTAACATATATATTGTGTTATGGGAGTTTTGTAAGTAAAATGGATTTCATATGAAGGATGCAATCTAAGAAGAAAATTAAAGCTGAACTTCTTGGGATATATAAACTGAAAGTGCCCATTCATGTTCTTTAACATATTACCATATAAATATTATGTTTGTCTTACTCAGGCCTGTAGATAACACATATGTTCTTCTGTTCAGGTTTGTACATAGTGTATCAGTGAAAAGTGTATCATCATTCTGTGAATCTTGGCGTGTTTCGTTCTCATTGGCATTCATTTATTGTAGACAAAATGCATAATCAGTCTTACTCATCTTCTGTAATCCTGCTGGCAAAGAACTAATGTATTCCAGTTATTGTTGTAGTCCTTATTACCATCGTATCTCTTTTGAGTTGCACAATAACCTCATTTTTATGTCACATTCAGTTTGTACAAACTGTGCTAACTCTTTTAGAAAATGAGTTCAATTCCACATTTATTTTCCATTCATTAAATTTTTAACCTCTCTTTTATTTTATTAAGAAAATATCCCAAAGTAAATATCATAGTCACCATTTTCCCTCTTAATATTTGAAACAAGAAATTGTTTCCTGCTCTAGATCGAAAATGACCTTATTCTGAAATATGCAATAAAATATTTGTTTCTCTGTGCTAATCCATAATATCAAATTAATCTGATGTCATATTTACCATGCAGTAGATAGGGAGGTAAAAAAATAAATAAGCAAATTATGTGGCGTATTTGGTGATGTGCTCTGAGGGGCTACTTTTACTGTGAAGTGTTTGGTGCCCACTCCTGCCTGAAGCAATTTTTGTTTTCCCAGACTGGTACCCTCCAGATATATTGGGACTGCAATTTACAAAATCCCTAGCAAATTACTAAATGCTGATAATTCTGACAGCTGTAGTCTTAATTAATCTGGAAAACAACAAGTTGTGAAAGACTGGCTGTTCAAACTGTTTGCAAGGCAGCCACCATCATTGTTTTTTATGTTTTTTAGATATAAATTTTATTGAGGTTGTCATAATATAAAATAAAAATAAAAGATAATGGGGAAATGGGGAGGAGAAAACAAGTGTGGGATAAAGAAAAAGAAAAAAAACCATTGACTTTCAATGGTGAAATGCTTTTTAAAGCCTTTACAACACATTAAACACAAAACTTTTTTTTAGTACAGGTAGTCCTCACTTAACCAAAATTTGTTATAAGTTCCAGTGGCACTGAACGAATGATAGTTACAGCCGGCCATCCTTTATTGCAGCACCCCACGGTCACATGATCCAAATTTGGTTGCTTGGCAGCCCACTTTCATTTATAATCATAGCATGTGCTTCATCTTACCCCAATGCCTATCTCCCCCATCTCTGCCCTTGTAGCCATTCAGATGACAAAATTGATTCCTGTAACAGCCCATCTTTGTTTTGAGAGGAAATACTAAAAATATTTGAAAATGGAATGTTAGGAACTTTGGTTTGCTGAAATTGGCTCATATGTTGTGTGCTAACACAGCACCTTGCTGGGAAAAAGTGCAGCTTTTCACTAGCCTGGAATATTTTCTCTGCAAATCTTTAGAACAGGAAATAAAAAACAGCTAAGGTTTCATGGGGCATGTGGCATTAGTTTAGGAAAAGCTGAACCCTTATCCTTCTGTCTGCCTCCTTTTTCCCATGCTGTTTTGTCTATGCCTGCTTTCGAATATGTCAACAAATTTTCTTTATGCTCCGAAGTGGAGAATGCAATAGGTCTGAGGAGAATAGTGGCCCTTTCCATTTAAAAAGAAAATGTAGAACAGATGTGAATTCAAGAAGATACAAGCTGAACTTGTTAAAATATTTGTAAAGAAAAATAGCTTCAGGATCTTCCAAAGTAAATCTCTTGAGCTCTAGAGATAGAAGAAAGGGGAATTTGTTTTGTTATTCTGATAGCATTCTTTCCGTACAAGAACTGATGATGAATCAAGATATGCTTCGATCTAGGAATCTAAATTGATGAATTATAACTAAGAACAGAAAGCAGTTATGACTTGAGGCTGGATTACTGTTTTTTAATAATTCTTAAGCAGAATGATAGTTTCATGGTCATCCTTATTTACTGAAAAGAATACTGTTGCAGCAACACAGCTAGTTCAAATAAAATCCTATATATACCTAGGATTACAACTGTGTATCTAGGGCTAAGCTGTGAAAAATGAGACAGTTTGGAGTTGTCCAGATGTTTGCAACTCATGTGATTGCTTAAAAAATCTTGACTTTATTATAAAATCATATGTGGCATGCATGAATGATATTTCCCCCCTCCAAAATAAACACTGACAAAATCTTAGCATTTATTTAAATAGGTTGTTGCATGTATGTTAGCCATATTTTAAGATTTATTAAGGAGATTTTTATTAAACTGTTACTGTCTTAAAGAACAATACAGATAGTCCTCAACTTATAACCATTTATTCATCAACTGTTCAAATTACGATGGCCCTGAACAAATGGTGGTTACAACTTGTCCTCAGATCTCCAGCTGTCCCACTGGCATGCACTTATGACTGGTTGCAGTACTCTGTGATCATGTGATTGCTGTTTGTAAACCTCTCTGCTGGCTCCCCCAGAAAGTTATTGGGGATGCTGGCAGAGAAGGTCAAAAATAATTCTCTCTTACCTGCATACCCATTCCCAGTCCCTCTGCACTTCACCCACGCTGGTCACTTGTGCATCCTCCCCATCTTTTGCCATGTCTCTCTTGCACTTTCCCTCACCCTCCCTAAGCCTTGCTTGCACGCTTACGCACTCTTCCTGATCTTTGCTGTTCCCCCTTGTGTACCCTCACAGACGCTTTCAAGCCTCACCATGCTTCTCTTGCATTCTCGTGACACCCTTGTGCCCTCCTTCATGTGTCAGTAGCCACTAACCTACCTGATAGCCTGCTTGGGACTATTCTGGTCCTAATTTCCATTGTAAGTCGAGGACCACCTGTACTTTATTGAGGAAGGCAGCATGACTTGAATCAAAGGATTACTGTAAGATGGAGTTTTATCATAATTGATAAAAAATATGGTTGCACTTTTTAAAACATGTTTTTATCCCATCTTTATTATTTTTATCTATAACTCAAGGCAACCAACATATCTATTACTCCTTTTTCCTTCTATTTTCCCACAACAATAAGCCTGTGAGATGAGTTGGGCTGACAGAGAGCGACTGGCCCAAAGTCACCCAGCTGATTTTTCATGCCTAAGGTGGTACTAAAACTCACAGTCTACTAATTTCTACCTTGTAACCTTAACCACTATACCAAAATTTATATATTTAGAACCAAATTGTTTTATAATCCATATAAAAACAACGGTGATGAATGTAACTAGTCCTTTTTTGTGACCGTGTCCTTAAAGCATTTATAACAGATTGTTTCTCAACCAATATTATTAACAGAACTTAACTGCCATCTAGTTAACTCCTTTACTTAGAACAAGGAAGACTGTTTTTAATGAGATATTAAGGAGTAGTAGGGATTATAAAGACATTGGTATAGAACATAATTTCTCATACTCCTTGTCATTTCATTTAAAATATACTTAATATATTTTGTAAGGCTGCAAACATTTTGAAAATGATTTGGAAGTACTTAAGACCTGATGTAAGTACACCCTTAGCTTCTCTCTATTACTTTTTCAAGTATGCAAGCCTGAAAAATGATGCCACTGCTTTAATAGTCACATTAAAGACATGCTATTGTAATTATTAGATTTGATAGAACAGCATTGCCTGTTTTTCAGGCTTATGTATTCATTTGTACTTGGAGAATACTGTTGTCCAAAGCAGAGGAAAATGAAAGATTTCTTAATGTGTTCAATTTAAAAATATGCTATTTTAATCTTTTACTGGGGAAAGCTGTAATCAATTTACCAATAATTGTTGATTGATCCTCTTTCTCACAATCCTTAGGACAGTGAAAAGAAAGGATTTATTAATAAACTCTATGCCATTCAGGAAGTGTGTATCAGTGTTCAGAACGTCCTTGATGAGGTGGCTTCTCTTGCAGAAAGGATTAAGAAGTAAGTAATGGATGCTTAGCTGTTCTCAGCTTATGTTCATATATGTGTATTCCCATTTCAGTTACAAAATGTTACATATTTTGAACAAAGGACAAAAATGTTACTACAAAAGTCACATCATTCTTATTTAGTCATTAAAGTTCTATCATTTGGACCAGGATGCTAAAATAATATGTTACCTAATATACTGTAGAACATAAACAGAAGAAAACATAAACCTACATTAAAGCAGAGGGACATAATTCCTTCTTTTATTAAGAGTCTATCCTGATAACCAAATATGAGAAAAAGCCTAGGATAGATAATCTTAGAGGGAACTGTTTAAACTTCATCTTTTCAATTTTTTATTCTTTTATTTATTATTAAATGTGTAAGTTCCAAAGACTTCCAAAGACTCTGAGATTCAAATACAAACATTAAAACAGAATACAATCAGGAACCAAAATAAGGAATAAAGATGACAAAAATTGGACTTGGAACAGAAAAAAGAATCTAAGGGATCTTCATTCACTGTCCTAAAGGCCTGGGAGAAGAGCTGGGTCTTCAGGCTCATTTGAAATACCATACAGTAGGATCCATCCAGATCTAGAGGAGACGCTCATTGCAGAGGGCTGGCACTATTACAGAGATACAATACACTATTACAATGGATACAATAGATGACATTATTTAATTAAAAGTACCTGGGTTGCACCAACACTGCCGGATTAATCAACCAGGCAATACTATGGGAAAGATTTGTGTATTTCCCTTTAAAGCCAAGAGGCACAGTATCAGGGAGGAGATTTGGAGAAAATTTTAGAAAAAATTGCATAAAGTTCAGTTTCTACAAAGTGTAAATCATGGAGTGGAGAGCAAATTTTAGGTCCAAAATTGCTTTTTAGAGTTTGGGTCCAAAGCACCAACACACAGCATATTTTATACTCATATATATTCAAAAACATATTGTTCCATTTCAAGATCTTTATTCTACCTGCTGCTGGTTGGTTTTTTAATTTTTTAATTTTTTTTCTGTGATGCTATTGTATTTCTGATCTGTTAATTTTTCATTCAGTATATTCAACTGGACTGTTCCATTCTTAAGCTGGCTGGCTATTGTTGCCCTCTGTGTGTTCACAATCATGCTGTATTTCATTCCACTGAGATACATTGTCCTTGTCTGGGGTAAGTAGAGTCTTTTCCCCCTCCAGAATTCTCTGTAGAAGATAGAACAAATAGCTTTAAATTTATGAGATGTATTATCTCTAGTGAATATCTGATAGTGGATGGAGAATGTCCTCTTTCTAAATTCTGAATGTATCAGATGGAGGTTTATACCAATAAAATTGAATAAGATTCTGTTCCTCTTCTTCCTCATACACATTTTCTTAACATGTACTTTTTATAAATACAAATGTTGAGCCAGTATTAAAAAAAATGGGTATATTGGTACATTGGCATTCATGTTTTTGAATATATTGAGTCTGTATTAGCAGTTATCATTCTGGCATTCAAAAGCCCAATTTGGCACTACTCATCTATGGCTTTTTGCCAAGTAAAATTATTTTGTTGATAGAAGTTATGTTAAAACCAGGAGTTGCTGTTTTCAAGGAAAAAAGTATGAAGCACTGATCAAGAATGGATGTACTAATCAAGAATGCCTATGCAATTAATTTTACAATGACATTAAAACACCAGTACTGATCTATGTGAACTGTTGCTTTGTTCAGGCATCAACAAATTTACAAAGAAACTCCGAAATCCATATGCAATTGATAACAACGAACTACTTGATTTTCTTTCCAGAGTCCCTTCAGATGTGCAAGTGGTCTGTATATATCTTTGATGTTAAACTTGAAGATATATTATTTGGGGGGGGGGATTAATGTTTTAATTAAATTGTGAATAAATAGTGAGTAAATGTAAGTTATATTACACTAACTTGCAACAGCTTCAGAGATATGTTGATGAAAGCAGAAAACATCACTGTAAAAAAACAAATCATTTCACTCAGTGCACTAAAATATGAAGCTAGTCATGCGAGGATGCTGAGATGGCCACCCTTTGCACTTTAAAAGGTCCTCGTTTGATGGAAGCATTTACATTAGCTGAAAACTGCCGCATTATTCCTCAAAGAATACTACGCTAAGAATATTTCTACTGACACCTATTTGTTCCTAGATTGTACAGTTATAATTGTAGCTACCTTTGTAATAGAGCTCTGAATTGTCCTAACTTTAAAAATGTCATTTAAAAAAATTTCTGGCTTTTAAAAAAAGTTGTTATTGGGCTTCTAAAAAGTTATTCCTTATGAAAGTGGGGTAGGAGAAGGCTTTACTGAAATGTTTACTGTCATGGTCTCTTTTCCAACATACTCATTGTGTTATTGTTATTTTTGTTTTCCTTCTTCCCCTTGACCTAGTAATTTGCCATGGTTTGCATTTTAGGAACGGTGCCCATGTTGCATTTTGTCTGGACAATATTGCTTCCTTCCCTAAATATTTCTAGCCCCATTGTGTAGTTGTCTTTTTTAGAAAAAAATCTTTGCTTTACTAAGTTGAAATTGATGTCTGAACTCTATGTTTAAACAGGTGCAATATCAAGAACTGAAACAAGACCTTTCTCACAGTCCAAGTAAGAGGAAATAAAATAACCTTGGTTAGTCAATTCCATGTGCTGGGCAGATCAGCATCTGAACAAGGCATCATACCGTCTGAGCAGGATTTCTTCTCTTTCTAATGTTTTGTTTATTCTCTTTTGGGTTGTGATTTTTTTAAAAAAATTGGTAATCTTAATGAGAAATGTGTAAATATTGTACAGAGAGATTTAGCAGGGAAAATATTCTTTCCTTTGTACGGAACTACAGTGAAAGTTTGAAATTTAGCTTATGCTCCAGCTTTGTAGATGAGAAAAGCCATCAATAGCATGAATATGGAATGGTACGTGATAGGCACATACAAAGGGATATAGATGTGCTAAATGTAATTTAATTCATGCTAATTAATATTAAGAAACCAAATAACTGATCTTTTTATCCTAAAAAGGATGTTCACTTTAAAGTTCCATGTTATACATATTACTAGACATGCCGAGAAAAGCAAATTCATTTATTTTTTCCACCATTATCCTTGCCTGCTGCAAATAACCAGACATTATAAGTTAATCAGGGCTTGCTGGAAGTAAATGAATTACATGCAACATGCAAATGTCTTAATGGATCTCCAAAGATTTAAAGAATTTCTTGATACTTTTATCATTCCACTACAAGGTTTCGAAAACATATTCCTATATCTAAAATTACTGCCAGATTTATAACTGATTCCGTATCTAACTTTTATAAAAAAATTAATCTTGATTTGTATTTGTTAGCCTCATGAACAACCTGCATATATTTCATAAAATAAGTTTTAAGCACATTGCTTCAGATGACAGGTTATGAACATCTTCTGTGCACCTAAATAATACTTTAAGTTTACATTATCCTAAATTTTTATAGGAGTCAATGGAAACAGGCAGATTTTCTTTATTTTTTCTTTAATAAATTAGTCTTTTCTCCAGAAGGTTAAGTGGCTAATTATATGCAAACCATTTTATATTATAAAAGATATTGCAGTTTAAGCTATTGTTATTGCATAACAAATAGCTTTGGATATATATACTTAATGACGTATAGGAATATTGATTTGAGCCAGTATACTTTTTTTAAAAAAACTTACCACATAATTTTTATAGAAAACTTCCAAGGGGATGTAAAAAACAAAGTAATTTGTGACCTCAGGGGGAAAAGGTTTCTATGCTTTTCATTTAGAATATTTCTCTTGAAATTTCCCCAGATTTTATTGACTATTTATACAGTCTGTTAGAAGGAATACTAAACTGCAGAGAACGCTAACCCTGAACATGTTTTCTTGAGTAGCCAGGTAGTTTTGATATGCATATGTATAAAGAAATTTTCTGGTTGCTTATTATTGATGGGCAATATTTAAATAATGGAAACAAAAACTTTTATTGATGTGAATATTGGGAAAGAGAATATAGCTCTAGAACACTACACTAATTTAAAAACCTGTTGCAAAGTATGTGAAAGATTTTCCCCTGTGATGTCCTCCTTTATTATTACCTTGTTAGGCATACATTTCCTGCACAAAATACTTATTTATGCCATTAAATATGATGATAAAAAGTTTGGCTGTTCCATGTGAACTACATAAGAATAAGCATGCATCTCTCTCTGTCTGTGTGTCCATTTTTTTGCACAGGAATGTCAGGGATCATATCCTGAGTGTTATTTTCAATTCTTGGCTCTAGTAACAGCTTAACTCTTAGATAATTTTTGCCTGAAAACAATTACAAGTGATACTGCCTCCTAAATCTTCCCTCCTGGTTAAGGAGGGATAAAGCTGTCAGTTTCACAATCTCCCATACTGCATTTTAATTCTCAAATTCCCTGTTACGTATATGAAGAAATGTGTGAACAGAGATAATCAAACTAAACAAAATCCTAATTTTCACTTCTGTGCATCCAAGCCTTTTGCCAAGCAATTCAAGCTTCCTTTTCAACCTAGTAAATGTCTTATGTTCTTCTGCACTTGCTGCTTGAGACCTTTTTTCCACTTGAAGGAAATTCACCCAGTGAATGCCATAAAACTTGCTATTTGAAAAGTACTTAATATTGAAAAAGTAATTATGAAATAAGGTGTGACCAAGCTTCATGTCTATATAGCCATATAGGCTACATTAAGACTGTGAACTTAATTGGAATCTTTCAACTCCAAACACTCACTTACCATCCAGCCACAAAAATCTCAGCCTTTAGTCTTTTTGTGAGGAGCAATTGTCCAGAATACATCTGGGCGATCTCACAATCTCTCTTTTCTCTGAAGAGATTTTGCCAGCTAGGTCTGCTTTCTGATCATCGATGTCCATCATAATGCCATTTCCACACCTTCAGGGCCATCTAGGTCTTCATTGGAAATCTTCCCACATAAACAGTGTTTTCCCCCCCAAGGCAATCAATCCTTAACCTGTTCTTACAAGTCTCCCAAGGACATACACTCATTACCATTGTAACTGAGTCCATCAACCTTGCTGCTGGTCACCTCTTTCTTTCTGTCTTTCCCAGTATTATAGGTTTTTTGGAGAGCTGTGTCTTTGTATAATACACACAGATAATATTCTGATTTTATGATGTAAAACTTTAGTTCAAACCTGATTTGGGGATCTGGAAAACATCAATTGTAGAAAAAAAAACTGGGAATAGGTCTGGCCAGCTTGGGGCCAAATCCAAAGTGAACTTCTCAATTCCAAAGCTCTTGTCTCACATTGATTAGCATGGAAAAATTCACATACATCTGTGACTTTTAAATTTTTTTTAAGGAGAGCACAATGACATTTTAATTAATAGACAACAGGTGGTCCTTGTTTAACAACTATTCGTTCAGTGACTTTGAACTTACAATGTGTTGAATGATGGGTATTTACAATTGAACCTTGTACATAGGACTGGTGTAGCATCCCCTCAGACATATTATTGCTGGTTGCAACTTTCTTTGCCAGAATTTCTATAGTTGTGGTATGGTCATTTGATTTTGTGCTTTATGATTACATTGCTTAGCAATGGAAATCCTAATTATTGTTGCTAAGTGAGGAGTAGTTGTATCTGATAACATATGGAGTCTTCAAAAACTAGAGGTGGGTGGTTGGGATTTGATTTGAAAAGTATTCTTCAAAATTAAAGAATAACTATTTGTTTATTGGTCTTTTTTCCTTGCATAAAGCCTGAACTATTATAGTTGCAAGAGTTTTTATGCCAAGAAGCTTTTACAGTTTTAAGGTGATGAATATGCCTTCCTCAATTCTGGGGAGAGGGAATTTATCTAGGGAATAAAAATAGGGTCATTGTAGAGGTTGCCTATGTAAGAAACCAGTCACAACTACATGATCAATTTTAATGTTGTAGCTGGAAATAGAAGAAAAGCTTAACAATGGATTATGCAATAAATGGTGAAGGAATAACTTTGATACATAAATTAGGAACTTATTTCAGAAGAACAGGATGAAGGAATTATTCCAAACCCGATTATCCTCTTAGCATGTCCACATCTACTTTTAATTAGCCATTCAGTTTTAATTGTAGGCAAAAGAAGTCCTAACTTTCTTAATGCACATATGTAATAAGACAGTTTTTAGGCTATATTATACTGTAGACTTTTCTGAGCAAGTAAAAAGTAGAAAAGAATTATAATCTTTCAGCCCTGAGAGAAAGTTTAACTTGATTTTGAGGAAGAAAATGTAACACGTTGAATCTTTTCACATAACAGCAGGAGATGATTCACATTTTGCAGAGGGTGCAAAATGTTTGCATGCAATTAAAAATTAATAATATTAGATGAGACAGTTCTCATGGTTATATTTATATATCATTTACATCTATTCAATATAATTTTAGAAGACATGGCATAGCCTATTCTAGAAAGAGTAAGAACTTTGTTAATAATTGGAACTTGTTCAAAGAAAATCAGCTAGAAATTTTTCAAATACTTATTTTCTAGATTTTTTGTTTTAGATTGGTACCCATGCTGTCAAAAGCATTTTTACAAATTTATCAAGGCAAAAAAATCCACTTAGCATAATATAATGCTGAGTCTGAATTCTCTTGAAATATGTCCATAGTAGAATTTTCAGAAGTGGACTCAGGACTGGTAATACTCAGTTACTGACTGTAACTGGAACTAGGACTCTATTACTAAATGATGTGTCATAAAGCAAAAAGAAAAAAATCACATGACCATGCCAAGTTATGATGCAGTTCTGATTGCAGTTGTTAAGCAAATCCCATTTAGTCCTTCTGTGTGATATCACATAACCATGACTTACCACTTCTTGCCAGCTTCCCCATTGACTTTGCTTGTTGAAAGCCTGGAATTAAGGTCACAAATGTTGATCAAGTGACTGAGACTCAATGACCATCATAATTGCGACCTGGTTACTAAATGGCCAAATCATGGTAGTGTGACTGCCAGGATGCTGTGATGGGCACAACTTCAAGGACCAGTCACAAGTCTCTTCATTCAGTGCTGTCACATCAAATTGACACATCACATTTTTCTACGACCATTTAACATATAACACAGGAATTTGAGGACATTTTAGATAATTCAAAAAGATGTATTTATACAAAGTTAATAAACATTGGACTTCCTGGGAAATAATTGTGAAATGAATATGGCTTTGTTTTCAGCAGAACTGTGGTGAAATGAGAAGCCAGCAAACAGATTAAAGTGTCAAATTTCCTCTCTGGATAAAAGGGAGGAGCTGGGATTGCCCATAAACATTCCATACAGAGCTAAGGAAAAAACAATTTTGCCCAAGCCGCAGTTCAGAGCCTTCAAACAGTACTGGATTTCCCCATTTCCTTTCTTAATTACTTTGGGACCTTCCTTGTTAATTGCTTTTTGAATATCAAAAACCTTCAGAATGTCAAGTTTCATTGTACTGGGCAATTCTTCTATATTCAGTGAAAGAAGTTTCATGTAAGTTTAAGAACTTTAAAAAATATTCTGAAATAAACGGCAAAAGGGAGAATATAATGTTGATTTTGAAAAGTTATACATGGACTAAGGGACCCTATGGATTGAAAATAAGATTT